AAAACAACAACAAAAAATAAAAAAACAAAACAAAACAAATACGATATCACATCATATAGTAGAATTTTTTTTCCACAACATTTTCACATTTTTATTGAAAATATAATTATTACAACTATTAAGTCATGTTTAAATGATTCACTACTTAGAGAAATGACAAAAATCACGATTCACCGAACATAAGATCATATTTATCTTTAACCCAACTCAATTCAACTTAATAATTAAAAATTATTTCTCTTTCTTTCACCAACACAACTCAAATTATCTTATCTCCAACTCAACCCAACCTAGAATATTTATTTTATTTTTATTTATTTATGTATTAAATTTTATATACAATTAATTTTTGTTACTGTTTTAATTGTGACAAATTAATTAAAAATATATATAATTAAAGTCGCAATGATTTTAAAAGTTATTATTTTATCATACAATTAAAAAAATACGAACCCATTAAAATATTAAAATTAATTAAACAACTTACAAACACTTCGAATAAAATTGGTAATTGGGAATAATTTTTAAAATTTGGAAAATTTTGAGAGTTGAAATAATATTCAAATTTTTTAGTTCCATATGATATATGTTGAAAATTAAAAAAGTGCAAGAGATGATCAAATTAATAAGGTAAAAAAATTTTGCCCCAGTTCTTCTCTGCGCATCTCCGTCTTCACCTTCACGCCGAAAGGCCACAATCCTAGGCCATCACCACCTTGTCTGTAGCCCACCTCCGCTGTCAGACACTCGACCCGTCTCTATCATCTGTCTGCCGCCCGCCTTTGTTCGTGATTGGTCGAAAAAAAATGTGTATTTTATATATTTATTACCTTATGTTTATATACTTAATTTTATCGCACTTATTATTTTTTGACTTATTTATCTATTAAATGGATCTAAGTGCTATGATATATTTATGATTTATTTTCAGGATATCGAAGTACTTTCTTAGGCGAGTGGTACCCAATACCAGCCCGACTTTTCGGCCCACTATAGGCCTAATTATGAAAGAAACTAACCACGCATATGGGTGGTTTAAGGCCTATTAATTTGCTTGTCAAAATTAAAAGCAATTGATGAGCTTTGGGGGTAATAGTTTGTAAGATTACATAGTAGGCCCAAATAATGTCAATGCATTAGCCCATTTAATAAAATTGAAAGAGAGTCACCAAATTAAACGGGACCTTCACGCACAACCATCAGGAAAAGGGAATTCTATGGTCCCGTTACGGTACCATCCCGTCAGATGTTTTAACCGTTAGATCATCTATCTTATACTAACTATATGTGCATCAAACGGTTAAAACTACCAACGGGATGGTACCGTAATGGGACCTTAGTATTTTCCAAAAGTTTTATTTGGAGTAAAACAACACGTGCGCAGCAGAGAGAGAAAAGAGAAAGCAATGCAGCAACACATAGAAGGCAGACACAGGGAACCCGATCAACAAGCCGATGGAAGCTGCACCTACACACGAGAAAGATATCTTTATTCTTCTCTTTTTCTTTTTATTTATTATGTTAGGCTAATTTTTATTTCTAGTTCCGGGAAGTTAAACTCTACGATTTACCTATGTTTAATTAATTTTCGTGGTTGATAATTTAAATATCTTTTTAGAAGTTTGCGTGTTATTTTGATTGATTAATTTAGGCTTGCCGAGTCTTATTTAGATTTATCACCTAGATTAGGCTTTTCATCTCTATAACTAGAATTAGACCTTCAATCCATAATTGTTATTGTGTTTAATTCATAAGTGACCCGCGTGGTAAGTTTACTACTTAGATTAGCCTATTTTTCTAGATCTTAAAACGGCTATCGTATTAAATATGGAGAGCGTGTTCTAGGCTGTACAAGAAGTCAGGTTTAATTATAGAGCGTCTTGCTGTTAAATTAAAATAAAGAAATATTCAGGTAGCAGAGCGTGTTGCTATCTAGGGCTAGTAATTTCATAAAATAGTGAAACTTGATGTCACAATTAATTAGACTAGACGAGCGATAGTGTAGACGAAACCGTGAACTAGAAAATTCTTTTAATTTATTTTATTTATATTCTTCTTCAGATTTTTAGGATTTTAATTAGTTTAGTTATTAACTTGTCGTTGGGCGATTTTAGCGAGCGTAACGCAACTTTTCGAGAATGGAAACCTATCCTCATAATTTTTATTCCCACCAGGCACCTTCTCAGCATGAGAGAGATCCTAGCCCGTCGCTCGAGGATATGATGAAGGCATTGACATTAAACACGTTGAAATTTCAACATGAGTACTCCGAGCCATTTCTTGAGAGAGATCTTAGTCCGTCGCTCGAGGATATGATGAAGGCGTTGGAGGCTAACACCCTTAACTTTCAGAAAGGTGTTGTGGCGAGCATCAAGAACTAAGAGACGAACATCAAGAATCAAGAACTAAGCATCAGTAATTAACAAGGCCAAATTGGTAAATTGGCGAAACAAATAAACCGATTGGTGTATCGGCTCGAAACGAGTCCAACGGGTACGAGCATCATCTATTAGTGTAGCGAGGAAGTCGAGGAACCTGAAGAGTGCAAATACGATCCAGAGAACGAAAAATTCACGAATATAGAGAAAACGAAGTTGAAACAGCCCAGTATGGGGTTCTTCCCGCTCTTGTGTCGATAGAAGTTGAATCGTGTCTTATGTCTTCCAATATGAAATGGATACTGAGCAAGGATGCATTGAAGCATGTCTTGGGTCTTAATATCCCTTCTCATGAGACGATCGAGCAAAACGCAAGGCATGAGTGGGAGTTTGATGAGATAGTGATCGTGATTGAGCATGGGCTGCTACAACATATCCATAAGGCATTAGCGCCATGGAGGAAAGATCCGGTGAAGCACCCAACACCGAAAAGAGGGGATGTCGTCAAGCATGGCCTCCCTTGAGGCCACCTTTGAAGCCACCATGGATCTTTTGATGAAAAATGAGTAATAAGTCGGGCCAACAACAATAAAAATAGACGCTTGTTGGGAGGCAACCTAATGGTGCGCATGGTTCGATGACTTATTCTGGATTGACTAAAGGGAACTCGTTTCTTGTACGTCTGATTTTATTCTTTTGTGTTTGTTTGAGTGACGATGATATATACAAACTCTAAGTTTGGAAAGGTATTTCTTGGTGAGCATTCGTTTTATTATGTGATTATATTTATGCCCCTTAGACTTTGAGTCGTAGATTAAATTGCATTATATTTGCTTGTGTGAGTGTGAGATTGCATGTACGTGGAATTTTGCGACGATGACAGGAGATTCAATTTGGATATATTGTGCTAATTTAAATGGCTTGAGTTAATTATATTCAGTTAACTATCTTAAGGTGTTTTTATTTTGGAGACAAATGCATGAAGGGTGATATTTTTGTAACTTATTTGTGGTGAGTTGGTTTTTAGGCAATTTGTATTGTTGAGATGTGTTTGTGAATGTCTTAATCAATGTTGATTAAGTTTGGGGACTTGAAGCTGAAAGTTGGGGTTTCTATGTCTCACAGTCGAAAAAACAATGGAATAATGACGATGGAGGAATAATTGACGTTGAGTTGAAAAGCAGTCTTGGAAAAAAAAAAAGTGGAAAAAGAAAAAGAAAAAAAAGTCATGGGCTGCAACATCTGCCAATCCATGGGGGCTCTAGTGCATTAATCTAATAATTTCCGTATCTAGACGAACACATAAGGCTAAAACTCACTGATTGTGACGGAGTTGTCGTTCCCTACTTAAGAAAAAAGAGAGAGAGAGAGAGAGAAAAAAAAAAGATAAAAGGAGAATGAGACATTTAGGTTTCGGCTAGGAATGGAAGGAAACTAGACTAGTTAGCAAAGAGACGAGTGTCATTAGTTGCATTGATCGATGCATTCGTTATAAAGATTAATAAACTATGGTGGTCACTTTGATTGATACTTGATGTGCTTGCATTCTTAGAATAATTTCGTCTTGAGTACGGATAAATTAATTTGAGTTGTTTGAACTATGTATTTATGTGAAAATTTGTGAGGCCATGAACAAATATTCCACATACTTGTTTATGTCCATCTACGTGCTTTTAGTTTTAAGTTGCTTGGGACAAACAACAGTTTAAGTTTGAGGAGATTTGATTGGCCGAAAAAAATGTGTATTTTATATATTTATTAGCGTATTTTTTATATGCCTCATTTTGTCGCACTTATATATTTTTCTACTTTCATATGTTTATGTATTATTTTAGGATATTGGAGTACTTTTATAGACGACAAGATGTCGAAAGAAGATTGAAGCAGACAGTACGTGGGTGCCACATACTAACTCGAGTTCAATCCAAATGCAAGTCCAAAATGATTATGTTGAAGAAAATAGTGAGTTCAAGGCCCACTATCTTTGGCTGCCAATTTGTTGATTTTTCTTCACTTGGCCCATATAAATTATAACAAAAAGGCATACTTGAATTAAGGGGGTGGACATACGCAGGATTTATTTGGGAGAGAGAGCCGCCACGCAGCAGGGGAGGAGGACACCTTATAAGACTAATGGGCTACTCCTCCTTCCACCAATTGGTTTTGGGATGGAACCCCATTTGAGCTTCATATGGACTTTACCCTTCTTTCATGGTGTCCTTCATGGTAGTGGGCCAGCACCCATTTTCCCCCAGTTTCTGTCATGGTATCAGAGCCGGTTCTATCTTGGACCGTGTGATGACGTAACCATTGTTTATCCCCCACGTACCCGTTTATGGGAGTCTGTTTGTAGTAGGGCTTGGGGTACCCAGCCCAGTTGGGCTTATGCTTTCGAAGGACTCACAAGTGAGGGGGCGTAATAGACCCACCTTATAATACTAATGGGCTACTCCTCCTTCCACCAATTGGTTTTGGGATGGAACCCCATTTGGGCTTCATATGGGCGTTTCCCTTCTTTCATGGTGTCCTTCATGGTAGTGGGCCAACACCCATTTTCCACCAGTTTCTGTCATCTTTCTTTTATTATTTATTATGTTAAGCTAGATTTTATTTCTAGTTCCAAGTATGTTGAACCCTACGTACTTGACTATGTTTAATTGATTTTCGTGGTTGACAATTTTATTATGTTTTCTGAATTGTGCGTGTTATTTTGAATGATGAATTTAGATTTGTCTAGTTAGGCTTTTCATCTTTATAGCTAGAATTGGACTTGCAATCCGTAATTTTTATTGAGTTTAATTCATAAGTAGCAACTAAAAGGTGGTAACTGTCGGGGATAACACAGCCTATTTAAGTGAACCATGCCGTTGTGTTTACTACTTAGATTAGCCTATTTTTCTAGATCATAAAGCGGCTATTGCATTAAATCTAGAGAGCGTGTTCTAAACTGTCCAATAAGTCATGTTTAGTTCAAGAGCGTCTCTCGGTTAACTTATCTCTAAGGAAAAATTCGGGTAGTAGAGCGCGTTGCTATCTAGGCTAACTAATTCCATGAGATAACGAAATTTGATACCAGAATTAATTAGATGAGTCGGTCGAGGGTGTAAACGGAACCGTGAACTAAAAAATTCTCTTGATTTATTGAATTTTATTTTTATTTTATTTGTTTAGATTTTATTTATTTCATTAGGATTTTAATTAGTTTAATTATTCAAACCTCTTTTATTGCTTTCGTAATTTCAATTAATACGAGAAAATTCACGATTTCATTCATACTTCTCGTCGGGTCGACCCTTACTTGCCGCTACTACTAGTTAGTAGAAGTTAGCCGAGGAAAAATATAAATTTTAATTTGTCGCGTTGCGACGCGTGGTCAGTAAATGGGAATGAGATCGACTTTAGTAATGTCTTCATGATCGACACATTTCTTTCTGACTAGAATACTCTTGGTCATCTGGACCCCGGGGGAGATGCGTACTTTGGACAAATGATGCATTTATTTTAGCGGTCATTATTTTAAGTCAGATAAATTCGTGTATCAATACCCTTTTACACCATAGATACAAAATTGCATATTACTACATGATATTATCTAGTGGGTTATCTAGGTAGTTGATGAAGGGAGGCGGAGGCCTCAGACATATACGTGTATCAACAATCTTTTACACAATAGATACAAAATTGCATATTAATACATGATATTATATTAAAACACAACACGTATGTGGTTACAAATTAAAGCATGTTGCCACACCCCCTCTTCTACTAAAGTATTCTTATATTTTGAAATATGTGAAAGTACTTATTAAAAATTCAGATTTATTTGTCAAAACAATGCGGATAATATCATTTATACATATCAAAAGGATCCAGAAACAAAAACAGCTTGCATATTTTTACATATATTAAAATTCTCATAATGAACCCAAACTACAAAAAGGACGGAAGCTCTTTGCCAGCCCAATAGGTCGTCATCCATGTACATGTCCTCAAAATTTTCTGGATCCAACAGTACGGTCAGGCCTTAACACTGATCATCAGATATCGACATGCTCACCTACAATGAATAAACTACATGAGCTAGAGCTCAATAAGTAAAAGTCATGCATGTCAAGAAATAACCTCAATTGATATGCATTACAACATGAAATGCAAATGATCGTAAATAAATTTATGCTTTTATAATTTTATTCTTGAAAACTTTCTTTTCTTGGGCCCTTGACCTAACTACTGTGCACCGGAAAGAGCTCAATATAACATCAATAATCATAACATTCCAGCCCAAATTGTCTCACATGCCCGAAGCGATGTCTCATGTGGCTCTGGAATGGCTCAGCCCGATCCGTCTCACACGCCCGAAGCAATGTCTCACGGGGCATTGAGCAATACATAATAATAAGTCACGCCCGAACCGTCTCACTTGCCCGAAGCGATGTCTCACGTGGCTCGTGACCTCTGCGAACTAGCAGCGGCCAATTAATAAAACACTCTTTTCTTTTCTTATTATATCGTGCATGCGAAATAGTATCTCATTATGACATATGCATGCACATGCTCATGAAATATATGCTATGCCCAATAACAAGGACAAATATCGCATATCCATTAACAATATATATACATATTAACATTAATTTCATATACATTCATATATAAGTATCAATTAGCATCATAAACATAACATTAATTTCACATACAAATATCAATTAGCAACATAAATACACATTAACATTAATTTCACATATAATCACTATTCACATAATCACATAATCAAGTATAGTATATAAATACTCAGTTTATGCATTATAGTTGAAAATGAATTTTTACTTACCTGAGTCCTTAGTTTGACCTTATAAGAAAATATTTGAGAGAACTTGACTTGATGTAATATCCTGAACTTTTGAATTTAAAGTTTCCTAATTAAAGGAATATCAGTATGCCTTACCATACGTTTTCATTCTATTAATAGTGGCATAAGGCGGTTATCTTTTATATTGTTTTCGATGTGGGAGACATGAATACATTTTCTAAAAGTTATTCCTTTCAATTTGATTTTAGTATATATATTTATTCCTAGATATAAGAGAGAATAACAATTTTAATTATTCTTGTTCACCATATAATACTTAATTATTATCTTATTATAAACATTGTTGTCATATAATGTCATTATTATTTATAAAGTTATAGAAGTTGTACGTCTTCTTTTTCTTTTTATTTTATGTAATAAAAAATATTTAATGCACGTTAGTATTATTTATTTATGTAATTAATTTAAAATATGTAAATAAATTTAAAATTAAATAGTGTATAAATATTTTACAAAATATCCACATGTTATTTTAGAATTTAATTTTGTATACTAATTAAACAACTTTGATAACTTTGATTTAGGAAATGCTAAAAACTCAATCCCTTCTATGGTCAAGATTTTTCTAATTCGCATTATAAAGATTTATAGTTTATTTAGCATACTCTGCAATGAAAATATATTTTACAAGAATTTAATTATAGAAATAAATCAAAATAAAAAAATAAAAAATAAAATAATCATGGGTGCCAATAGTATACAAATAAATTCTAAAATATAGTTAATACATTTCAATTTTAATTTTTAACCATTAATAAAACTATTTAATGTATCTGGTCATTATCTCTTAAATAGTAAATTATAAGAACAGTTTATTTTTTATATTTAACAAAATAAAGCTTAAGAAAAAAATATATTGGCAAAGATTAATTCACCAACTTGATTTTGTAGGATTACTTGGAAAAAAAATTCTACCTAACCTGTTACGATTTTTCATAAATATTTTTGAATAAAAAGTGAATATTTGTGAAAATTAATATTATGGTTAGAACTTAAAATATGGTGTAATATTTATCTTGACCAAAATATTATCAACATGGATCATGGAAATCAATCTTGTAATTTATTATAATGAATATCAATGAAAGTATTACAAATATTTAAAAATAATGTTTATCTTGACCAAATTATTATCAACATGAATCACGGAAAATCAATCTTGTAATTTATTATAATAAATATCAATGAAAATATTGCAGATATTAATAAATTTATTTAAGTAATTTTTTGATCATATCTTATTTGATCTTATTTGAAAACGTGTATATGGAAGCAATTAATGCATATATTTAAAAAGTTTCCAGAAATGGTTTGCATTTAATGTTTCCTAAATTTTTGGCTACTACTTTTAGTAAATGGTAATTCTTATTATATATATAGATTAACTTAATTAAATCAAAGTTAATAGTTTAATTAGCTATCTTTAAAAAAAATTATATTTTAAGGATATCAAACAGGCACATAGTTTTGAGATCTTATTAACGAGAGACTGAGAGACTGGGTTATCACACATGTGCAAATAAAAAATACAAATATATCTACTTATTGGATCATTAGTCGATTTCCTGAATTCCAATTCGGACGTTGACCGAGATCTGGTCGACGAGACCCTCCGCGGCGATACTAGGGGGCGGGAGCGAGTCCCGATGGTCCGCGGTGATGAAGCGACACTTTTTTCTTCTTAAGTGTTGTTTACACGGCGGATTAAAATCAAACTAGGGTCAGGCTTTGCGAAGTGCGCTTGAAGATTCTGAAGGGCACTAACCAGACCATGAAAACGTTCTTCTTTTGATTTGAGATGAGATTAGGGTAATGGGAGCCCATACTTTCTTCTGAACCTTTCATCTATAATATGAGAATAGAACACAATTTTTTGACTCTTCGGGTCGCAAGATAGCGACACAAACACGTTAAGGTCAAATACAACCCATTTTATATTGTGTTGTGCATATTGGAAAGTTGTACCCAACATTTGCCTATATATATTATCATTATATGGTGAATATTTCATTCACACAATCCCAAAATAACTATTCTTAAATAACACCATGTCACTAGCAAACTTTCCATTCTCCACAACCACATACTTAACACTACTTATTGCCTACACTTTGGCTGTATTAGTTTCGCCGACGGTGGAGTTCCGCGCTACGGTAATGCACGTGGACCGCGGTAAAAACCTCAGCAAAATTGAGCTTTTGCAGCTTGCTCTAGGCCGCGGCCGAAAGAGGCTGGATTGGCTTCAAGCAACAACCTCGAAACGTACCGAAAAAATCGAGTCAACCATCATCCCATGTCCCGGCTATCTATACAGCGAGTACTTGGTAGAATTATCCATCGGGACTCCACCTCAAACCTTCCGGGCCATGATGTCCACTGGCACCAACCTCACATGGATCCAATGCACGTCGTGCAAGAAGAAGTGTCCCTCGAAGCCGACAAACTTCTTCAACCCGAAAAATTCCAAGTCATACAACGAATTGGAATGCCCGAGCAACGGACGGGCACACGACAAATGCACGTACAACGTGATGTACGCTGACGACGGCTGGTCCATCGGGAATCTTGCCACCGAGACCTTCCAGCTCGAGGAAGGCTTGGACCCGGTCCCTGAGCTCTTGTTCGGATGCAGTCTCAACAACAGTGGGGACCTCTTCAGCAGCTCGGGGGTCCTGGCCCTGGGACCCACGAGCCACTCCTTTGTCAAGCAACTCGGCGTGACCGAATTCTCCTACTGCATGCCGCCGCCCGGCTTGAACGAGGAGGGTGTGCTCGAGATGGGGCCCGGGGCTGGGGCCTGTGCCCGGGCGGACATCCGCACCCCCACGACCCGACTCATAGTGAACGGGTCCGACCCGTTCTATTGGATCCGGTTCGAGGGGGTCGCCGTGGGTGGGGCGGACCCGGTGCGGGTCGACAGGTCGGGGCCCGCGATCATCAACACGGGGACCACGTTGACGCTCCTCGAGAGGGGCGCGTTCGAGGACGTGAAACGGGAGTTCGCCCAGAAGATTAATCTCCAGCCGGCCAACGGGAGCAAAATCGACCCGGCTCTCGAGCTATGCTTCAAGGTCAAGGGCCGCCGGAAGATAAATGTCCCGAAGATGGTGCTGATGTTCGACGGGGCCAAAGTGGAGCTGCCGCAGGAGAGCTACTTCGTGGTGAGCAGAGGTGTCGGGTGCTTGGCCATGGGTGCCACCGAGGAGGGTGGGCCCACCATCTTGGGCAATTTTCAGCAGCAAAATATGTTGGTGGCTTATGACATAGCCAACGGGACAATTTCCTTTGTGCCCAATACAAAATGTGATGATATCTGAATATATGCTTGTGTGATTGTCTTATCTGAATAAAAACAACAAGATAGAAATAATGAGCATGATTATTTCCAGTTTCATCCACTAACACAATACATTTTCAATTAACCGAACATCTATTCATTGAATATTAAAAAAATAAAATTTTTTAAAGAAACGAAAAGCTAGCCATTGAAATTTATAGGAAAAACAACAACTAATTGAGCATTCAAACATGTTATCATTCCTTAACAAGGTCCAATGTTAATTATGATCTTTTGACCCAAAAAACACAATAAAGCAAATATCACATCATATAGTAGCTAGGATTTTCATTTTCCCACAATATTTTCACTTTTTTTATTAGAAATATAATAATTCTTACAACTTTGAGTCATGTTTCAATGATTCAATTTTTCAGAAAATGACAAAAAATAAGATCACGGTCCATATTCAATTGGACACAATCAAGGGTCTAGTGACCCTTTCTATATCACCAGAAGATTGCATACATATTTGTATAAGCATATGTATGTATATCATGTGGTCATACAACCTCTGTGATCAATGCTCAAACACCCACAAAGGCAAGATCAAATTTTTTCAAGATAAAAATGGTTGAATTTCCGTACCTTATTGATGATTAAAAATATGAATTTCTATATAATATTATTTATTTAAAATATGTACTAATAAATAATAATAAATATTATTTAATTTTTAATTATATTAGTGAAATGAAAATTATGGATAAATAAACAGTATTTCTATCTTTTTTAATAAAATAAATCTTAACAAAATTGCATATAAGAAAAATTTTGATTTATTCCGATCAAGCTTAAAATTAAAAGAATATATATTATAACCAATGCCCCCATCCCATATTTTCTCTCTCCAAAATGTTAAAATATTATATCTGCACCTTCCACAGTTCGTTCTTCTCAATCTTTTGACGTCATCTTTATGGTTAGTTAAGAATTTATTTCTTCAAATCTGACTAATCGTTGGAGTGAACTATGCTGGTCGAAGTCTTCTTAATGTTTTTTTCTTCAAATCTGACCAACAGAAATCTTCTATTATAAAATTCATCACAGTAATCCCTGATTCCTAAGGTTTTTTAGGCTCTTGTACATTTTAGTCACACAAATAATATGTTACATACTCTTAAACATGTTGTTTGAACAATTTAACACATTTCTATATCTATATGGTGGGTAAAACTACCTCGATTGGCTTGAATGATCTTGGATATGTCCTCGTCTGGTTCAAAGACTTGCAAAACAGCGTCGAGAGTGATCCCGACGTAGAGCCTCCGACGATCAAGTCAGAAACTGTATGATGAAGACGATAAACAGTACTGTATAAGCTTGTAAGTATATGATAGTGTATAAAGTGTAAATGGACATACCTCACCTCTTTATATAGGGATGTTATCTTGTTGCCCAAGATTGCCCAGATGGGTTGACCGAGTGCCCGAACTGTTCGTTTGTACTGTCTGGGTGCCTGAACTGTCCCACTATGTAAGGCCACGTGGTCCAATCCACATGTGATTCTTATCTTAATTATATTCCTTCTTATCCATTAGTCTGCCTTTTTAGACAATCTAATCATACGACCAACTCTGTAATATCCCATTCAGTAATTAATAAAAGTAATTATTCTAAGTTTGAACTAATTACTTTTATTAATAATGCTCGTTCGTAGTTCCGAGCCAGTTATTAAGTTATTCAGTTAAAAATTCGACTTTAAGTCGAAAGTATTCTCGGTTCAATTTTATTCAGTAATCGAGCCAGTTTAGTAATTAATTAATTCCGGTCTGTTTATTTTTATAAATGGATTTATAAGACGAGATTAATTGCGGTCTATTTATTTTTGAAGACATGATTTATAATAGACCTTGAGTAAAAGTTCAAGAAAAGTTAAGTTAAGTATTAACTTGAGCAATAGCATGTCTATTAAATTCCTATAAGATTTGGATAAGTTAAGAATCCTAGTATCTTATTGAGTATATGAGCATAGTACTTAGTATATTTGTTTATATTTTTATGTAACTTGCAGATACAGTTACCGAGTACAGCACTTACCGTTTTTCAAAAGTTTTCAAAGAAGAAAGGTAGGGACCGGAGTGGGTATCACATTGAGTACGATATTGATAAAAGTTTAAGTTTATATGCTTGGGATGAGAAGGCCATCAGTTGTCTCAGAGTATATCCTAAGTTCTGATTTATACGCTTGGGATGAGGAGGCATTAAGTTTTCTCAGAGTATATCCTAAGTTCTGATTTATACGCTTGGGATGAGGAGGCATTAAGTTGTCTCAGAGTATATCCTAAGTTCTGATGGAGGCCGTTTAAGTTGCCTTGAGAAATATCCATCAGAGTGTGAACACGTATCCGATCAGATATCGGAAGAGAAAGAGAAAATATTAAGTTTCAGTACCATAATAGATTTCTGGTTACCGATCAGAGATCGGTTTATGATTATCTTTATTCATTACTCATCCCCATAAGTTTATTTTCAGGTAATAGGTCGAGAAGGAGGTGTGAGTGGAGTAGTGTTGGTGTGGATCGTGGACTCATACTATAACAAGCTTTTATATGGACATTTATAACAGTCTATATAACTAATCACGTTTTTTAGTATTTCTGCTATGCATATTAAGATTTGAACTTGCATTTTAATAAATTTCAGTTTTCAAGTTTTTACCATTCAGAAGTATGAATATGGTATAATGCAAGTTTAAATAAATCTGTTTTCTATATGTCTGAAGAAGTATTAGATAAAGTTTAAAGATAAACGGATTTTCAGAAAAGATGAGTTTGAGTAGCATCCCGAGTTAGTCGCAAAAGATTTCGAAAGATTTATAAGTATTTTCAAAGTAAAAATTGCGAAAAAGTTACTCTGATAAGCGGGGTGTTACAAACTCGCCTTCACTTGAGCTACATTTCCTCTTCGTCATGCTCGTCTACACTATCCTTTAGGTCAATCCATCGACATGCACACCTTTAGGTCGAGTTTCTATCAGGCCATCCGCGAGTCTTGGCTCGACTTGCTGACGATCCTCTCTAATCGCGATGTCTTTGTCCACCTTATGCCTTTCTACCTCTGGTACCTTCAATCGACCTACCGGGTTACTTGGCCCAATTAGGCAACTTCTCGTGTTGAGCAGACTCGGTATGGTATCTCATATCACTTGGTCTCCCCTAATCTAGTCGAGTTAGGGTAACTCGATCTAAGAGTAACTTCGACTGTCTTTGGTCATGCTTACTGAGCTCGAAGATCAACTGCTCGACCTCCCCGCTCATGCTTTTTTTTTTTTTTTTTTTNTTTTTTTTTTTTTTTTTTTTCAGTGACGTTTTCCTCTCGACATAAGGCCTAGATCTTAAGTTCAAAATTCGAACTTCAAATTTCTGACATTTTGTCATGTCAACCTGGCAATGTTTCCATCAGCACAATGTCCGTTCGACCTAACCGCCTCGCACTCCGTGTCATCCTTGTGAAATGCACCCATTATATGTTGTTTCAATCATGTCCTCTCGATATGTCTTTAATCCAACTATCCTTAGCGACATGTCCTTTCAACTCAACTGATCAATCTCACTCGTCCATCTCTACTATGATCCAACAGTCGTACTCGACCACCTTTTCACCTCCCCCTGCTTTCAATCTCGTCCATTCATCTCACCCCTTATCCGATGGTCGATCGACCTCTTGACATGCATTTCCTTTCTCCTATAAATAAGATCTTTGGCTCTCTTTTCGATTTTTTTACCTTCTATTAAAATTCTCTTGCAATATACTCTATAAAATCCCTTTCTTCTGTCGCTACTAACCCGCCATCGACCACCGTCGTTCTCGTCGCCGACCGTCGATTTCGGCATGTCTTCAATGAGTAAGTTTTCTTCTCCTAATGTTTTAATTTATTTTCTGGTTTTCAATTTTGACTCTTGTGTTTTGGACAATTCATCCCCCTTAGCCTATTTTTTTCTCTAGTTCTTTTAGATTCCCGCACGACCAATGATTCCGATGACGCTTCAATTAGAGGGCACATGACCTCCCCATCTTCTTCTCAAGCATCTTCCAACCCTTTTTTTTTATCTTATCTTCTCTGGAGGTTATTCCTCAACCCGTTCTCTTGTCTTATTGACTTGCTTCTTGGTGTAGACGTATCTGTTATTATTATTATTATTATTATTATTATTATTATTATTATTATTATATTATTATTATTATTATTATTATTATTAATAATAGGTATCTTGGAGAATAAGTTAGGAGTTTAATATTATTATTTAATTATTTAATATTTAGTAAGAGATCTTGTCTTGTTGGACAAGTTAGAAATAGGGTATAAGAGTCTTATATAAAGGACTCTCTCTACTTTATTTTCCTTGGTTAATTATTAAATAAAAATCAGTCTGGTTTGGTTTTTATGGTGTTTGAGATTGAGATCTCATTCATATCATTCCTACTTGTACGCTTCCATACATCAGTTGGTATAAGAAATTAGCACGATTCAAGATGCCGCCCCGGTAGGACGACATCGACGGCGTGACGCTACAATTGAATATCCGGCTTGACAAGCCATGGGCTTTGGTCGCCAGATCAATCAATTGAATCGTTGGGTTGAGAATCTTTCGTCGGGGATCGAAGAAGTGCATCTTACGATCAACAACATGGTTGAGGATTTGCAGACATACCGTGACGCCGACAACCGGGGCGGGAGTTCGCGGAGGACGTGGAGGCCGTGGTCCAGGCGGGGCGTCCCACCGGAGATCTCCACAACCACCGTCCGACGATGAAGACGACGAGGAGACAATCTTGGAGGTGAATCCCTTGTTGGGTTCTATTAGGAATGACAACAATATGCACGTTTGAATTTGAAAAATAAAACCCAACGTAGCAGAATCTATAGTTAGGGTTAGGACATTGCCGTTAAAAAATTTTGCCGACTCAGAGACGTTTCTGATTTTCTTTGACGGAGTTCGTTTGATTACCAGAATCCGATGGCTGCCGGATCTGGCCTTTCTCGATTTTGATTGAGTCACTGAATCATGAATGGATCATCGGATCGGGCTCGTTGAGCTCGATTCATTGGGTCGACTCTGTCAGACCCGGGTTGACTCGGTCAGAACTCGACTGGCTCGGTTGGGGTCACTCGGATCAGATGGGCTCGTCACCGTCGGACTGGCTGCGGCTGGGCATGGGCAGGCTGTTCTTGTCGCGGACAGGTGCGCGTCGGGTGGCTGGGACGCGCGGTCATGCGGACAGATCCGGACAGTATGCGGGGACGTCAGGCCCGTGCATTGCGGGTCTTCTACGCCGACTCAGACTGGGCGCTCGCGTCTAGGATCACACGGGCTTGCGGCGCGGGTCTCCTGGTCGTGCGCGGACTGGTGCGCGCATGTCTTCTCGCGCAGGCGTGCAGAGCGCGAAGAACACGGGTCGACGGCGAGGCACGAGCAAACGACGACGTGCGGCGCCATGGGGCATCACTACTGGGACCGTGTGCGGGGCCTGGTTGCGGGGGCTGGCTCGCGGCTGCGTGTGGCTGGACACTGGCGGTCTCCGACAATGATGGACGGCGGCGGCGATTTCCAGCGACTCTCCGGCGGTGGAAGGTGGTCGGATCTCGTGTGATCAAAAGGCTCGAAAAAGTTGTACCTTAAAGCTTTCTAATGGATTACCTAAACACCTACTTCGATTAATCTTGGTGGTGCGATTAATCGAATCTCCCGAACTCTCGAATATGTATAGATCACAATTTTCCTCTCTCTATAAGACCTTATAATCGAGCTCTACCAATAATAAGGGAAGAGGTTGGGACATGGTATATTTATAGGATCCATTAGGGACCTTAAGGAGGTACTAAATATGGGCTTATCCATTAGGCTTAGTAATCATAATCATGCTTCATATCCTTTCCCATGTAGAAGTCTTATTCCTCCTAATCTCAATCACCCTTCTAGAAGACTCCAAAGTCTCCTAATCCTAAGGTGATTATTCTAGAAGGAATATTCATTTCCTAACGGAATCTATATTATGGAATATAATTAATTCCTAAAAATCCTAATTAGAATTAAATAATAAAACATCCCACTAGAGTAATATTATTGCTATCCCTATTTAGCTCCAATTTATTTAATATATTCGAAGCTCCAAATGATGATTAATTAATATTAATCTAATTGACCGATTTACCTCCCTATGTTTAAGATATAACGTCCATCAATTAATTTAATTACTGACAATTAAATTAAATTGACTTCTTTCATTTCTGAAATTAGTATCACTCAGTTCATTAATCGTTATGTCGGATAATTATCCAGCTGTAGGGTTTGACATAATATTCCTTCCTGAACTCATTTCGGGGACGTCATCAACCCAGCGCACTGGGACGTAGTGACTGTAAATAATTTATAACAGCACATCCTATAAGCACTTTTACTTACCAAAATACCGAGTATGTCATCCTAACAGAATAAGAATCACCCAAGTGGTAAATTAAATAAATAAGTAATGAATATATATATATATATATATACCCATTTTATATTATCTTCTAGCTTAAAAGAACGCATCAATCACTGAAGGTCTAGATTATAACAACGATCAGCAAATCTTATAATCCTATTCTTCCGCGGTCCGTTCAATACTTATCATAAGTACTAGTGTAACCCATCAGTCAAAGTTAAATTTAATCAAGACTACACTACAATCTTTATCCAACATGGGGTCTCACTGCTTGTCTAAACTGTGAACAATTAATTTATATTTTACAAGGAACCGATAATATGATATTACTGTTCGACACGACGAACCATATTATCTACAATGTAAAATAATGGAGTTATGATTGCATAAATAAATAAACTGTAAACATAAATACTTTGACTAAAACACGAGTGCCAGATTAAAATGGAATTGTTTATATCTGAAAGCCAAGCGTTTACAACATATCTAACAATCTCCCACTTAAGCTTAATAAGCTTATGGCTATCACTAACCACAATTTTCTTTCAATCTAATTTTCAAAGACTAGTCTACTATGTCGCCTAACGTCTGACTCTCATTCCTTATACATGTCTCTCAAAGACTTTTGCCGGTAACTCTTCGTAAAAGAATCTGCTAGGTTGTCTTCTGACAGTATCTTGGCAACAACGACTTCCCCTCGTCCAACGATTTCTCGTATTAGGTGGTACTTTTGCCAGTAGGCTCTTCGTAAAAAATGCAAATATATCTCCTTATTGCATCATTAATATATTGACATGACACAATTTTGTGTCTCTTTGGGTCAATGATTAAAATATCGTATCGTACCAACCGATAATACTGGTAATCGACATTGGTACGGTACAATTACACACAAAATATCGAATTTAAGGTTACACCAATTTGTACCGGGATTATACCATAAATAGCAAAAAATACTTGTCTAAAATACCGGCCAGCAAATAAAAAAAATATATATTAATTTAAAAACACAAAATTTAAATTGATAGTTAAAATGTATTATTTTTATCTCATTGAGAAGTTGAAATTAATGATTATCGTCATTTATTTTTATACATTATTGCATTTGGTATTATACATTTTTATGTATATTAATATATATCGTTATATTTGTTAGTTGGGTAATACCACCAATATTACCGGTCCGACCGATAATATCGTGTACCGTTGGATAGATCGATATGACCACTAGTACGATTGGGGTCACACGAGAGCGAGAGCGACAGGGGAACGTTAAGGTCAAATACAAAGTCATTTTATATTGTGTTGTGTATCCAAAATTGTACCCCTACATTTGTCTATATATTGCCAATAAATGGTGAATATTTCATTCACACAATCCCAAAATAAGTATTCTTATGAATAACATCATGTCATTAGCAAACTTTTCATTCTCCACAATCACATACTTGACCCTTGTTATTGCCTACACTTTGACCGTTTTAGTTTCACCGACGGTGGAGTTCCGCGCTACGCTAACGCACGTGGATCACGGTAAAAACCTGAGCAAAATCGAGCTTTTGCAGCTTGCTCTAGGTCGTGGACAAAAGAGATTGGATTGGGTTGAAGCAGCAGCCTTAAAAAGTAGCGGCAAAATCAAGTCCACTATTACCGCATGCCCCAAATATCTATACAGCGAGTACCTAGTAGAACTAAACATGGGGACTCCACTTCAAACCTTCCGGGCCCTTATGTCCACTGGTACCGACCTCACATGGATCCAATGCACGTCGTGCAAGACGAAATGCCCCCCAAAGCCAGCCCACTTCTTCAGCACGGAAAATTCCAAGTCATACCACGAATTGGAATGCCCGAGCAAGGGACGGGCACACGACAAATGCACGTACAACGTGATGTACGCCGACGACGGCTGGTCCATCGGGAATCTTGCCACCGAGACCTTCCAGTTCGAGGAAGGCTCGGACCCGGTCCCTAAGCTCGTGTTTGGATGCGGGTTCAACAACAGTGGGGACCTCCTCGGCGGCTCGGGGGTCCTGGCCCTGGGGCCCACGACCCACTCTTTCGTCTCGCAGCTTGGCGTGACCAAATTCTCTTACTGCATGCCGCCAGCTGGCTTGAACGAGGAGGGCGTGCTCGAGATGGGGGCCGGGGCCTTCGACCGGGTGGACATCCACACCCCCACGACCCGGCTCATCGTCAACGGGACCCGACCGTACTACGGCATCCCGCTCAAGGGGATTGTCGTGGGCGGGGCGGACCCAATGCAGGTCGACGGGTCAACGCCCGCGATCATTAGCACGGGGACCACGCTCACACTCCTCGAGAGGGGCGTGTTCGAGGACGTGAAACGTCAATTTGCCAAGAAGATCGGTCTCTCGCCGGCCAACGGAAGCGAAATCGACGCTAGTCTCGAGCTATGCTTCGATGTCCAAGGCCGCCGGAAGATAAAGGTTCCGAAGGTGGTGCTCAAGTTCGAGGGGGCCAAAGTGGAGCTGCCGCCGGAGAGCTACTTCGTGGTGGATGGTGGGGTCGGGTGCTTGGCCATGGGGGCCGCCGAGGAGGGTGAGCCCAACATCTTGGGCAATTTTCAGCAGCAAAATATGTTGGTGGCTTATGACATAGCTAACGGGACGATTTCCTTTGTGCCCAATACACAATGTGGTGACATGTGAATATATATTATTGTTGTGTGATTCTCTTGTAAATTAATTAATGAATAAATCAATCCAAGAAGATAGAAGAAATAAATGGTTATTTCCTGTTTCAATTCATGTTTCATCCACTAACACGATCCATATGTTTTCAATTAACCTTAGATCTATTCATTGAAAAATAAAATCGTGTAAGGAAACGAAGCTAGCCATTGAAATTCATAGGAAAATTACAAAACTAGTTGAGCATTCAAACATGTTATCATTCCTTAATAAGGTCCAATATTAATTATGATCTTTTGGCCCAAAAAACACAATAAAAGCAACTATCACATCATATNTTTATTAGAAATATAGTTCTTATTACAACGTCGAGTCATGTTACAATGATTCAATTTTTAAGAAAATGACAAAAAATAAGATCACGGGACATATTCAATTGGACACGATCGATCAAAGGTCAAGTCTCTCTCAGTCCTCCCTTTCTTTATCACCACACAATTACATACATATTTGTATAAGCATATATATATATATGTATATCGTGTGGTCATAAAACCTCTGTGATCACAGCTCAAACACCCACAAAGGCAAGATCGGATTTTTTCATGATTAACATGTTTGAATTTCCGTAACTCGTGAGAAAACTAATGATTGTTAATTATTGGAGTAGCTATTGATGATGAGAAGTATGAATTTATATATAGTATTATTTTATAATAAAATATGTACTGATAAATAATAAAATTATTATTTAATTTTTAATTATATTAGTGAAATGAAAAATATGGATAAATAAACAGTACTTCTATTAGTTTTTTAATAAAATAAATCTTAACTAAATTGATCAAAATTAAAATATATATATATATATTAAAAAAATTAAATTTTAAATTATTAAAAGGTTAAATTATTATTATTATTTAACATAATATCTGTCAAACTTGCTTACAAAGATAGATATACTTATTTTTATTTCATATTGCAGTATATATGTCAAATTCAAAATCGTAAAAAGAATATCAGTTTAATATATTACATACGAAAATTTGAAAATAGATAAAATATTTACTACTTACGTCTTAGAATATTTTTATAACTTATGTTAATCAAAATTTTATTATTTTTAAAATCCTAACAAACATGATTAAAATGGCTGACCTACAATATAGAGTACCACCTAAATAATTGATTGGTTAAAAAATGTGCATATTTTATATATTTAATAGTGTAGTTTATATGCTTAATTTATTTGCACGTTTATATTTTTTGACTTATGTTTATTTGGATGAATTGATCTGCTTTGACATTCTAGGTATTATTTTTAAGATTTTAGAGTATTTTTTTGGATCCATTGGGTGAGTGTTCGGCTGTTTGCGTGCGTTGTTATTGGGCCCCATTACCAGGTCAATTAAGCCCAAAGCAATATCTAATTAAGAAAAGCCCAAAGCTTCCTTATTATGTTGTAGACAAAAGTGAGCTTGATTGTTAGCTTAATAGAGAAAATTGGGCTGCGTACGTGGTGCTTGAAGAGGAGACAAATTGCAGACTCCAACACCAAAAAATTGTTGGGCCCCATTGGACGAGTGTTCAGCTTGATTGTTAGAAACTTGACGATTTTGAGTAGCAGCAGGAATTATTTGCTGAAAGCCAACAAGCCATCCAGGTATAAAAAGGGAATTATTTTGCGAGAGATTACACACGGACAGAGAACACACGCGGAGGAATTTTGCACATGTGTGATGGAGATAACTACTTCTTCTCTTTTATCTAGTATCTTTTTTTTTTTTTCTTACTATATATTAGTAAGTTAGGTTAGGACTTTTATCTAGTTTAATGTGATGTTTGAACTCTAATTTCTATTTGTCTATGAATTAAATAATTTTTATTTATTATTAGTTAATCGAGACGCCGTAGTTATTTTGTTGATGAGTTTATTCATGTTATTTGTATTTTACTGTTTATGAATTATGGGTGTTAGATTTAGTTTGGTCAACTACGTTAATATTCATAGTTTATTTGGTAGAGACGAGACAAGATTTAATTGAGATTTGGAGCCGTCATACAGAGATGCGCAGGACGGGCGGAAGACGGACAGAGACGCGAGGAATCGACCAATAGCGGAGGGAGGCCGTCTTCTAGACTGTCCAATTAGTCATGTTTAATCGAATAACGTTTCTTGGTTAACTAAACATTAAAAAAAAATTGGGTAGCAGAGCGTGTTGCTATTTAGGGCTAATAATTTCCGAAGCTAGTAAAACGTTATGTCACAATTAGTTAGACTAGTTGAGCGAGAGTTTTAGACGGAACATTTCACATTTTTTTATAGTTAGACTAGTATTCCATTATGTACATATACATAGTTGAGCAGGGTTTAGACGGAACATTTCACATCCATCCTTGTAGCTACAATGGTTTGTCTTTTTGTCTTTGTATTTATGAGTTAATAATGAGTAGATAAGCTAGATATATCCACTATTTAATACTTTTTTGTTGCATGTGTTTAAATGACGTCTAATATATAGACCATAGTTAGACATATTTATCTCAACTTTTCGAACAAAAACATAACAGAAAAGTAATTAACAATTTCAGATTAATGTGAACCATACTGTTGTGCAAAAGACCTCAAAAGAGTTCACACGACTTGATCTGCTTCCTGGCCTATTCATAGACCTGCAAAATGGGTTGAGAGGGGTTTTCAGCGTTAAACACTCCAACGATTAAGTCAGTCCACAGTGATGAAGACGATGAACAATAGATATAAAGCTCTGTAAGTATAATAGAGTGTGTAGAGTGTAAATGAACATACCTCACCTTTTTACATAGAGGTATTATCTTGTTGCCCAAGATTGCCCGGATGTACAGCCCGAGCTGCTCGATCATGCTGCCCAAACTGCTCAATTATGTTATGTCACGTGGCCCAATTCACGTGATGCTAATTTGAATTATATTCCTTCTTATCCACTAGTCTTCTTTATTAGACAGTCTAATCGTGAGACAAACCCCACATTTCATGTTGTAGAGGCACGTGTACTCTGCTTCCTGGTCGATTCATCGACCTGTGTGACTTTAGATCGAATTTCTACTCGGTCATCCAAGGACCCTAGCTCGACATGTCAGCGATACTTCTTCACATAGCGTCTTCATCGACCTGATGAGTCTCTTGATCTCTGATCGACCTATTGGTTCACGCGGTTTAGTTGGTCAGTTTCTCGGGTCAAGTTAACTCGGTATGATATTTCTTATCACATACTTTGATTAGAATTTTTTTTTTCAAAAATATTGAGTTTTACAGATGTGACCTCAACTATACAAAAGTGCACAAAACATGTTTTGACTTCATTGTGCTTTATTAGGACTATTGTAGATGTTGTGCGATGCACGGGGTGCACAATTTTAAGGTTATTTATCCAGTCTTATTATTATATTTGTGAATAACAAAATTAAATAAATAGAATAAATAATATTATTATATATTATTAAAAACTTCCTTGTAGACAAATATTTCATCCTCACTGCAAACTAATATTTTCAAGCTGTTTCGATTACTGACACGAGAAATAACTTCATACAATTGGTTGTAACTGAACATCGACTTCTTCAAGAACATGACAACATGTGATAAAGACTGATCATGACACTTGTTAATCGTCATGGCATAAGAAACCATTAGAGAAACTGCCTTCGTTAAAATTGTAAAGATACTCTAAAGTAGGAAGGTGTTTGTCATCTGAGGTATCAACACCTTCAACATCTTGTCTCATGTATTAGATGCAGTGAATACCATACACTCAAGTACATGAGTGGAGGTTGCTGAAAGAGGGAGAATAATTAAAAATAATAATAGAGAAAATGAATATGAATATCGAAGAAGGTCTAATATATGCAAGTCTTACATTTGTCGAATCATATTTTTTTCAACAAATCTACATAAGTTCAAATTTAAATGTCATACTCTAAAATAATATAAACATACATTTCATGATACAATTATGCATTTTTATTAAAAAAAATTACTATGATGAATCCACATAGATAAATATCTGGCGATATAAGAAACCTAGTTATGTTATATTGCGAGATAAAGAGAGTCTGAATGCATAATAAATTACAAATAATGAGACTCTAAATACTCAAAGAGTTGCTAATTTGTCAAATAATGAAAGTTTAATACTTAAAAGAGTAGCTAATTTGTCAAGTGATAGAGTCGATTATTATATATTACAGGGATCATGTGTTATATATTACAGGGATCATGTGAACATGAAATAGTGTTACTGATTTCTTATTAATGCTCCATACTATATAATTCTTATTATTGAAGACAAGAATTAAGGCCCTTCAATTAATGTCATGTAACTATCTACTCCGTAACAAGCAAAGACAAAAAAGAATACGTAGGGGAAAGTGTATGTATTCATTTCAAGCTAGTCCTCAACACATACTCCATATTTGTATGTTACCATGGGTACTTGAGTTCTATACTCTTTAATTAGTTAAAATAAATGTTTATTCCGTGGAGGATTCATTTTTTTTTTTTAATTTCTTTTCATAGTTACAATTCATAGTGTGGAATGAGAGTTTTAGTTACATGGGGGAGTTACATGTTAAAGACATTTTAATTGATGTATGTTGTTTTTTTAAATATCACCAGAGATACCAACGATAACATATATGTATAAACTATAAGGCGTAGACATATAATACATATACGTAAACAATAAAAAGACCAACACGTAACATATACGTGTAAAAAATAATGTTGTTGTTAGGCGCAGACAATAATACGTGTTATGTATCAGTAGGTCTTGTGTTAGGCCGATTTAACCATTAGTCGACATACTATTTTCATAAATATACATAATAAAAAGACCAACACGTAACATATACGTGTAAAAAATAATGTTGTTGTTAGGCGCAGACAATAATACGTGTATGTATCAGTAGGTCTTGTGTTAGGCCGATTTAACCATTAGTCGACATACTATTTTCATAAATATACATACTTTTATGAGAAAGTGTGATACTTTGAAAAATATCATTGACAAAGTATGACATTTGATATGGGATACCGTGCCGAGTCGACTACACCCAAAAAACAGTATGATCGAATTGGGCGAATGAGCAGGCCGAACGGTGATCGAATGTATTGCAGGTCGAAGGAGCCTCAGGTCAAAGGAGCGTCGTTAATCCAAGAAACGCCGACTGGTCGAACTAAGGCCCTCAGATGGCCTAGTTGAAATTAGACCTGAAAGTATAGAGGCTTGAAGGAGCGACCAGAGGAGCAGAGTATACGAGCCCGATATCGTTGGCACTTCACCTCGAGGTAATGGGGGTCGGTCGCACCATTAGACCGTCTAATAAGAAATATTAAAGGATAAGAAGGAATATTATTGGGATAAGATCCTCACGTGGATAGGGCCACGTAGCCTAACAAAATTAGACAGTTGGGGCAGTACGAACGGGCAATCCAAGCAGCCTACTCAAACAGTCTTGAGCAACAAGGTATGGTCTCCTTATATAAGATAGTGAGGTATACCCATTGTTACATTACATTCTCTATATTCTCTACATACATATAACACATCATCTTCTTCATTCTGCTAACTTAAGCATTGGAAGTTCTTTACTAGAAAACTAGAGTTTTGTAGGTCCGAAGGACGTTCAACTGGCAAGGAGCTCAAAGCAGACTGAATTCCAGTCGATCGGAGGTCTTTTGTGCACCAACATTTGATAGCAAAAGTATAGAGATATCGGGTGACATAACTTATAAAATCATCCACAATTATTCATAAATAATGTACTAATTTGTGTTCTAAAATAAATATATATACTTGATAAACGTGTCAACTGCAATACATCAAATGGATGACTTTATAAATGAATCCGTACATTCACTGGTTCCATAGAATTATCTCTCTATATTATTAGCACCCACAACAAGAGTTACACTTACACCAATATTACATACCATTAAGTCGTTAATAATACTCCATACGCACACAAAACAAACTTGTTGCCTTTGTGGCACACCAATTCTAATGAATGTAAAAATATGCCTCTATAAGTTTATATTAAAATTTTTCTTCTCAAATTTTCCAAAATCACTTATTTCTTCTTTGTATTTTCTGACAATTGACAAAAGCAAACACATCTTCAACAACACACATTCAATAATGCCAAATGCACTCCAAATCCTGTTGTTGTTCCTCAAATGCCTTTCTTCCCATCTCAAGATTCGAAACAACCGATGAAGTCTCCACACTCATGGCCGTTTCTTGCGACACACTCATCAACTCCCTCATTTTCTCCAGGCCCGAATTCATATTCGGGTCAAAACCCGCTACAAAGCTCGTCAGTACAGTCGGGTCCTGGATCGGGCCCGGGCCCCGGGGCCCGATTCCAGGTTGAACTGCAGGGAACTGCAGCAATGGAAAAGGAGAGGCTGCTGAGGACGGGTAAAAAGTCGAGGTTAGATCGTCGTTGGAGAAGCAGTGCACGTGGGCATGGGTCGGGCCGGGCCCGTGCCCAGTGTCGGGCTTAGGCTTCATGTCAGTCAGCTGTGGCAGCTTATCTCGGGCCGGGCTCGGCCTCATCAGCTCTGATATATGGACCTTTTTGCCCCCGGATGTTTTTTGAAATACTCTACTGATTACCCAATCATTCTATATATAAAATAAAAAAATATACAATAAAACTAGAAAGTTGGTCATATATTGAATAGGAACAGGGGAAAACAGGGGAAATTATATACTTTTTTTTTAATAAAAAAACTACCATCTTTGGTTTATTTTGGGAGGTTTAAGAAATAGAGAAAACACAAATTATGGTGTGAGATAGTCTAGCCGCAAAGTGAATCGTGTCATACGCCTTTAGCATAAGTACATATTTATGTTATGAAATATCACTTTTATTTATGTATTTTTTCAGATTATGAAAAATGTAAATATATATATACACACACATTTTTAATATAAATACATATTTGTATTATTTATATTACACTTTTATTTACATTGTATTTGAAATTATGACATAGTTTTGAAACGGTTCGACTATTGTCAGACAAGTCTAAGAGTTAGACGATCATATTTCTTTTTAACAGTTGTTCATACTTTTAAACTGAAATGTCATAATCTAGAAATCAACATCACGAGAAAACTCAATATTGCATAACATTAATATGCATTTTGGTTAAATATAGTATGACGGGTCGACTCGCCTAATCGTTATTCCAAATCACACAAGTTGTGTTGTTCAAAATGTACGACTACTATATCGTTGGACTGTCTGACATCAGTCTCACTACCACCGCGGAAAATTATTTAATAGAAACATGGAAAGCAAGGGAAAAAAAAAATAAATTACCATTAATGAAAATCAATACCTTGGTTGATCTTGGATGATTTTCAAGTGACAATTTTCCTTCCAATCTGTATTCATGGCATACCCAATTGGATTTTTCACCCTTTGGGGCCCTTCCCATGTAGAAAACCAGTGTTTTTTTCATGCCCACCAATTTTTTTCCTCTAAAAATCTCCTTGTCCTTCCCAGTGGCTTTCCAGTAGCCACTTGCTGTTGCTCTATTTGTCCTCAATCCTGTTGGGTATTTCTTATCCCTAACACAGAAAAAGTACCACTCTTTTTCCCCCAATTTTGCTCTCCCTATACACAAATCACAATTATATTCACATAATTAGTAAGTAACCAAAGCAAAAAGATGAAAATTTTCACTTTTTTTTTTCTTTTCACAAATTCTTGCACAAGTCAACTTAACTATTAGACAGGTCGACCAGTTACTGTTTTATTGTAACAATGTTATGCATATTTGTGAAATAGACCAATTATTTTTCTTTTGGGGAAGAAAAAAAGCTTACATGGTAATTCCCAAGGCTCAACTTTGTTCATATCAACATCTCCAATGGCTATAGGGGCAAAATCGGAATCCAAAACTTTCTTCGACAAGTAATGAGTGATGAGCTCTTCGTCGGTCGGGTGGAATCGAAAACCGGGCGGTAGCTCGATTGGATCACCACCTCTTCTCACAGCTCCATAATTGTTTTCCATGTCAATTTTTTGAGAAATAAAGAAAAAGATTGTATTTTTTTTTCTCCAAGAAAGTTTGTTATTTTTTTTACCTTTGTGAAGAGAAATTGATGATCATCAGGTAATGAAAGCAGGCAACTTTCATGAGGCTTATCATAGAAAAATCCAAAACAGACATGAAAAAAGAAAAAGAAAAAATAATATAGAAATTTTGTTTATTTATGAAGCTTGGATTAGAGAGGTGAATTAAGAAAGGAAAAAGAGCATGAGGATCATAAGGCCATTAAATAGTTGTTGGGCTCTTGTAGAGGTGAAAGAAACGTGAGTTCTAAGTAACTGAATGAGGTTAGTTNCAGTTTTGACAAAATGCACCACATTAAGAAAAGACCAATATGCCACTCATTTGTATATATAATATTCCTCTGACTAAGTATAATTATTGACAATATGATACAACCCAAAAAAAACTTACTACGGAAAAAAAAATTGTATAAGAATCTTATATATATGAATGTGGCATAACTTATAATTTCTATAAACTATGTAATATGGCATCACTAAAAAAATGTTATATATTCCAACGGAATATTTTCGTTGGAATTTCTGTTGGAATTATTTTTTTCTATACCATTAGAATATTCGTTGGAAAAAATAATTCCAATGGAAATTCCAACGAAATATTCCGTTTGAATGAATTTTTCATTGGAATTTTAAGATGGAATTTGATGATTATAACGGCTATTTTTCCAACGGTTTTTTACCGTAGGAATTTCCGTTGGAATTTTTATTTCTACTTCCGTTAGAAAATCTACCGTTGGAATCTTCAAAATCCAACGGAAATTTCAATGGAAAACTCATTCCAACGGAATATTTTTGTTGAATCTTTCGTTGCAATTCCATTAAAATATATTTGTATTGGAACGTTTCATTGGAATTTGATCATTTTGTTGTAGTGCATTTTTTAATGAAAAAAAAAATCATATTGCAACAAAAAATTCAATGGGAATATTCCAATGAAAATTTCAACTAATATTCCAGCAGTATAACTTTCGTTTGAATGATTCCTGCAAAAATTCCAACAAATATATATTTTGTTGGATCGAGTTTTCTTTTGGAATTTTAGTAGGAATTTGGTGTAATTTCAAACGACAATTTTCCAACAGTTTATTACTGTAACATTAATTTTCGTTGGGATTTTTATTTTCATTCATGTTTCAACCGTTGGAAAATCCATCATTTGAATTGTCAAAATCCAACAGAAATTTCAACGGAAAGCTTAATTCAATAATTTTTTTTCGTCGGAATACATTAAAAAATTCCAACAGAAGTAATATCATTGGAATTAATACTCATTGAAATTTCTATTAGAATATATTTCTGTTAGAATATTTTTTGCTAAAATATCGTCATGTATTNAAGAGGTTATAAATGGCACAAATTTATATCTGAAAACAGCTGGTCTGCATGTGTTCATAAAGTTAGATTTACATAAATCTTTCTAACATCACTTTACCTGAAATTAGCTTACATCCCATTTTGTCCGGAATTAAAATGCCTATTCTAGCCTTTTGGGCTTTGAAGGATGACACGTAAAGAATTCTAGAAGTGTTGTGTTCATAAAACAGTCTCACCGTGAGACCAACCTATATAATATTAGAATATTTATATTTCACGATTATTTGTATGAGCCCGTGCAAGTGTTGGCATAATATTTGAATAAAAATGTACACTAATACTACTAAAAATTATATTTTTTTATTATATTATATTTAAAGTTCATATTTTATAATGAAAGTATGTATATATTTGTAAAGAAATATGTTGATCTAATGATCCGATTGACATCATAAAAGAACTACGTTTGTATTTTATTTCCTAATCCAAATACAATAAGGCAGATTGTGCCCAATGATTAAACATACATCGGTTTCAATATATTATAGTATATATAGTGTATAAATTTGTGCTTTCATTAAATAAATTAGTGAGAATATTGTGAGACTGATTTAACAGTTAGATAGACATATTTTTATTTCAACAAGTATGCATACTTTAACCTGAAACATCATACTCTAAGAAATAACATAAACAAAAGTATAAATATTCATAAGATAAGTATAAATTTTTGTTACATAAGTATGATATAGTTCGACTCGTCTAACGATTAGGCCATTTTACACAAAAATATGTATATATTAGGATCAACCCGTTTAACTGTAATAGTGTCTCAAAAACATTTGTGCTAAGACAATGAAACTAGCTATCTCAAAACAAATTGACTTATACAAACTTTTGTGTAGGCTTGGATTAAACGATATTTATCAAATAATAAAATGTGACGAGTAAAATAGTACAAAATTCTTGAGCCATGATTTTAGACAACCCTGAAAATCCCATTTGATCTTGATTCTTGGAGGATTTATTTGTTTTTTCAAACTTTTGAGGTGATATTTGATATTTGAGTTAAAAAATAAAAATTGTTTTGGAAATAAGTCATCTTGATCGTGAAATGTAACTTGCCACAAAAGTTCTATATACAATTTTTGGTGGGTTTGCCAAAAGTATAAATGTAAAGTTGTAATTTTCAAATTCCAAAATAAAGTAGATAGAACAGTACGCAATTTTTTGATAATAGGATCAGATTTATTGTAAAATAATCATAAACAAATATATGTTTATCTCAAAAGAGTGACATAGTTATAACTAATTTTCTCATAGCTGTATTTGGAATGGTAACGCTATAGAAAAGGAGTCATTTTGTTTAACTTTATAAAAAAAAATATATATTTTTTCAATTTAATTTGCAATAAATAAGGTTATATATGTGATTTATTTGCAAATTTATTTCCAGACATATATGTGATTTTTTTAATATTGGGATGAACTAGATCACCTATTGTAGCTCCTAATAATTTCTTTCTTTTTTTTTTAAGTATTCATCTCAATTAAGCTTATCCTTAATGCTATTTATTACACATGCATAAGTAAAGCTACCTTTAGACACTTAGACAACCTAACGACTAGTAAATCATACTTTTTCAAGATATATGTTTATTTTAGACTGAAATGTCATATTTTAAATAATCAACGCAAATAAATATATAACAATTCATAACATAATGCATTTATAACGATTTAGACAGTTTAATATTTTTACAAAATCACTCGTCCTTTTATAATAGTATAGATAGATATAGATATAGATATAGATATAGATATAGATATAAATATAGATATAGATATAGAAAATGTATATTTATACTATGAAATGTCGTTTTTTTTTATTTTTTTTTAACAACGTTTTAGTTTGAAAATATGAATACATGTTGAAAAAGAATACTACATGCATATACATAGTTTATGATATTTCAAATATGAATATATACATATTTATTGAAAATATTAAGGTGTTATTTACATATTTGTTGAAAATATATAGGTGCATAACATTTAAACATCTCTAACAGTATGTAATATTAATGCATAATAGGACCAACATTCTCCATTCTTTATTATTTTGGTTCCAACTAACTGCTACATTATACCACAAAAACTATCTGAAAATTAAAAACCTTTTAATGATCAATCATTCTTTGGACTAAAATACAAGGGGCTAGAAAGCAGAGTGTCACATTTCCAAACTGTCAATATAATAGAAAAAAATTACGTGTTGACTGAATAATGGAGCATGAAAATGATAGTGTTATCATAAATTATAATCTATATTGTGTAAATGGTGATAGAATAACAATAATATAACTTATTTTATTCCCCATCTTCAATAGGAGGCATTTAGGGCTCATTTTAAATTGAAAGGTTGGATTTATACTTAAACAAATTATCCCTATGGAAGGTCCAATTAGTGACACATAAAACCCAATTTTACATCAAACATACAATAACAAGAGAGTCAAAATGAGCTAAAAACCATACAGATTATATAAACATATAGTATTCTTTTCTAAGTTTTACACATATAGCTTTCAAGAAATTTTCTTTTGTTTACTGTCCTTCCAAGCTTTGATCTCAGCATCAATTTTAGCTTGCACCCGAGCTTGAAAACCGGGGTATGGCTCGTATCCAAAGGTCGAATGCAGAGCCTGTAAAAATACCGTAAATGAGATAATCCTTAGGTTTATCTTAATTACGAAAAAAGAATCTAATTATCTTTCAATTGCAAATTCTGCCCTAAGTAGCCTTACTTTTCCAACAGATAATGCATATTTTTCATACCGAAATATTACATTGCAGTATTTCATACCTCAAGAAGTACAAAATACGGTGCCATTAGGAATGCCTGTGCTAGGTTATCCAATAGTGCAGGCGCACGTTTCTGAAAATACCGATATAAAAATTTTGTTAAAAGTAAAATAAATAAATAAATAGAAGAGTTGAAAAAGGCGTAAAAAGAAAAATTAATCAGAAGTTCAGAACAATTACCTCAAAAACACCATGGCCTATGAACTGTCCAGTCCAGCAAAATAACTGAGATGCCAAAACAACCTAGCAAAAAATACCCAAAGTAATAATCAGAGCAAAGAAAATCGATTTTTCAAGCATCTTTCTGAATGTTTTAAAGCATAAGAGATAAGACAAAACTACACGGAACCTTAGTAGTAATTTTTTGCAAATTTACTCGATGAAAGAGACTTCCTTTAGATCTTGTCATTCATATAAAGAGATAAATGTTCTCATAAGGTACGCATCAAAATAAAAACTTGCCCATATTTGAAAGAGAATTGGAACAAAAATGATGAAGAGAAAAATTACAGAATAAGAAATCAAAGCAACAAAATTCGATCGAGTTCGTGATATTCCAAACATGCCAGTAGTCAGTAAGTGAAAAAATCAAAAATCATTGTTTGTTGATCTTATTCGGTATATGCATTCCATAACAGATTATTGTCATCCGAAAAAACGAAACATCATGGATTTTGGTTAAAAGAAACAGGGTACGTAATAGGCTTCTATAGCAGATCGCCTTCGCAGTCAATTATAATGCTTAGAATATAAAACAGTAGCAAAACTAAAATGCATTACAACAAATCAGCCGGAACAATGAAAAAGCACGGATAGCAGGAGCCAAATTGCACGAACACGAGAAATTTTACCTAAATCCCCACTTAATTCTATTCTAAAATTCCATTTTCCTGCATTTCTCTCATTTCCAACGGCTCGAGCCTTTATCAAGTCGAACGGAGCTCGGCTTGTTAATTATAAGAGCAGATAAACAAACTCGAGTTCGACTCGTCTATCAATATTAACGAGCCAAACTAAGGTAAAAATTTAGAAATTTTCGGAAAAACCCCAATTCTCAAGCCTTAACCAGACGAGCAAACTCGACTTGTAACCTGAACGAGCTTTAAATGAGCCCGAGCTCGGCTACTCGCGAGCAGCTCATTTCTTTTAACAGCTCCATTATCAACACGACTTTGAGAGATATGACCATCATTTAACAGGAAAAAAAATTACTGAAATGTCCGCATATTAGATAATTTAATGATTCTTAAAGATACAATGGCCAATTCAATAGCATCACAAAGTATGCTAACAAATAAACTTGCTTTTACTTGAAAAGGAAATCGAAACAGAAATGACATAGAGAAATGTACAGGATAAGAAATCGAAGCAACAAAATTTGATCGAGTTCATGATATTACAAACCTGCCGGCTACCATTCAGTAAGGGATCAAGGAGTAGATAAATCTTCTCTTTTTTTTTTTCAAATCTTATTTAGTATATGCATTCCATAACAGATTACTGTTGTTTGAACAAACCAAACTTTAGGGATTTGGTAAAATAGCATGCACTTTTGTTGAAGTATACTGTATGTAATAGGTTTCTATAGAAAATGCCCTTCTGAAAGTTTTCTAGGGAACTCATATACTTTCACACTCGACAACAATGCTTAGCATTTTTAATCAATAGCAAAATTAAAGCGCATTACAACAGTCAAACCGAAACAATGAAAGAACACATACAGCAAGAGCCAAGTTGCACCTAAATTGCACGAATTCGAGAAGTTACACTACAATTAGTCACATTCTTGTATTCAGAGTTCATGTAAGCGGAATTCAACTGATACTCATCTATGATCTACCCAAATTTTATCTAAATCCACTTGATTCTTTTCCTAAAAATATCATTTTTCCTGCATTTCCCTCAATTCCATTAACCAAGAACCTTACTTTCCAATATCCAATCCCAACTCTGACTTCCCTTCAAATATATTTCCTAATCCCTAAACCAAATAAACAATTCCTCACCCAGCTATAAAAGGCAGATAATACTAATAATAATAATTCCACCAAACAGAGTAAACCCTAATAAATAGTAATGAATTCCACCGAACAGAGCAAACCCAAAAAAAAAATAGCAATGATTAAACAACACAGAGAATAACAAACAACACACATATAATAATAACAGTTAACAACAGTTTACGAAACAACACAGAGAATAAAAACCCATTCCAAAAAACACTTGCCTTCCAAGCCAAATCGAAGCCCAGGCGATGGCCAAGGGCGCTGCTACCAACCCAACACAGGAAAACCAACAAAGCAGCTAAAGATCCCGCCTTTCTATCCAAAATCACATAATACAGCGCGTAAATCACAGAAAACATAAACCCCAAGTTGAGGAACAAGAAACCCTGGTCCCACGGCCCGATCGGGCCGTGGCTGAGCACGGGCGGCGTGAAATACAGAAGAAGTTGAAACGTGAAGAGGATTGGCCAGACGAAGATCATGTGGACGATTATGTTCACGGGGTTGCTGTGGTAAGACCCGTAGAAAGCGAATTGTTGCTCCAAATCAAACAATCCCATCTTCGGCTTTTGCGGAAATCTTTCTCTGGGAGTTGAAAAAATGGGATTTTGAGAGGTGGGAGTTGGTTTTTTTATTTCAGGGAGTGGTGTTTGTGTCGAGAAAAACGACAGCCGGCTGAAATTTTGGTAAAAAAGATTGGGCTTTTCTTGAATAAGTATTGACCGGCAGTCACGAGATCACTTTTGTAAATTGTAATGTATATAATAGTATGTGTTTTTTGGAAAGAGGGTGCAATAGCTTGAGCAATGTTAAAACCTAGATCAAATTACACCCATTAATTATTATTATTTTGTTTTATTTTACTTTCTATAATATTGTTAGAACAAAAATTCAATCATATACACCTATATTCAATTTCGACTCCATGAGATATGAAGCTTCACCAGATATAAACAAGTTTGAATCGAGTTTGAATTTTTGATACTCAAACTCAAGCAAGTAAACGAGTTCGAACTCGATTGATTTATCAATAATAACAAATTGAACCTAGTCCTTAACAAGTCGAGATAAAGTAAAAGTTCATAAAACTATATAAACATATATTTTCTCAAACCTCAATGGATTGAGTTTTCGGGTGACTCGTTTCATTAAACAGTTTTAATATCAATTGGTTTTCTTGCGATAAATTCAGTAGTTATTTAACATTTTGATAAAATTTCAAGAATATTATATTTTTCAATTGAAAAGGATACATATATGTGATTCTATTAAAAAAACAAAAAACAAAAAACAATATTTGGCAACCTTAAGATAGTATTGATCGGTTCAATTTGGATAGTTACATCAATAATATTGTTGTTAATTACTTAATTAGGTATAATGAGATATTCATTTTTTAAATAACATATATAAATCATAATGAACTATCATACAATCATGGGATGGTGTAATTATTAGTGGATTTTGTTGGAGTAAATTGTTATAAATCAATTAGATGGAGTTGGTACCAATGGATTTAATTATATTGTTATTAATATAGGTGGTGGATCTCAATTCTCAAATGGCATTAGGAAAACGATAATAAAATCATTTGACGAAGTATATTGATGGATTTTGGCATTTTGCAGTAAGGTCATACATTATATATAAAATTATTACTGAACTTCAAATCAAAGAAATAATAATAATATAATGCATTCTTATTGAATGTCAAATTGAAAAAAAAGGAAGATAAAAAATAACCATATAAAATAAAAACAAAACAGCCCATTGTTTTACTCGAAAAAACAATTTGCAGGACGTGGTTTGACAAATTAAAATTGATATGAAAGTTGAATAATAATAATAATAATAATAATAATAATAATAATAATAATAATAATAATTCCACAATTGTTTTTGTTGAACTTATATGATTTTGTTCAATCGTGCATACAAAATACGTACGGAGTACTTTTCAATGTATCCCTCAAAATAAAATTTTGGGTGGTTTTATTTTTCTTAAATAATGTTTAAGAAATTGAAGAAGAAATAAATACTGAACCCAGATTCCATTAATCCATTTGATAAAAAATGTACTAACCAAAAAAAGAAAAAGAAAAAAAAAATTAGTGGAGATTCAATTATTGAACCAACACTACTATTTCTAGTTCATTTATCTTTTCAAGATTATTTTTTCACCAACATGCATTTGAATTCAAAATCCATGCTTATTTCATTTTTATTTTTTATTTTTATTGGGAAGATATCAAAATACTACTCATGCAATTAAAGCAAATCCCAGCTAATCCCCTTTTGAAAAATAGTTGAAACAACACTCATTTTGTTTTATGCATTGATGAGTTGCAAAACACCTCAAACAATTTTAATATTCAATTTTTATATCAACGAAAATTTAATTTCCAAATTCTCATTTCCCTTCAATTTTAATATATTATTAATCAGAAGCACTCAATATTAATTTTGAGGAGTAAATTAATATATATATATATATAGTTTATATGTTAGTTGTAGAAAAACTAAATATTATAAAATTGAAAGAAGAAAAATAATACTTTGTAGGTTATTGGTTTTTGCCCAAGGTTAAAAAACCTCTGATCAGTACACTATTTCATCTTTATTTGGTGGGATGGACTTCGTTGTATTTTTATAATAATGTAATTATTCGTCTAAAGTAATCTTATTAATTGATTGGCCATAAATTGCATGAACATCAAAATAAAATAAATACACAAACAACAAGATACTTGGTCCCCTTTTATACGTTAGTGGTGTACATGAAAAGTATAAATTCAAGATTTCCAGTCCATCAAAATTTCGCCAATGATTTTCTTTTGCAGGCAAAAATGTTGTATCCATAAATTGAGTTTTTAAATTAAACGAGTTGTTCATGTGCTCAGAAATTGAGTCTGTTTATTGTCATGGTTAGAAAAAAAAAATTATATAATTTTTAACAATTCAATTTGTTAAAACTTGAGTTGTCTCATTAAAGTTTAAACTTGACTCATAAATTATATTAATAAAAAAGTTGAGCTTAATAAGCTCGTTTAATTAACGAATCAGAATCTCAAACTCTAAACTCGGGTATCATAAGCTCCAACAAAATTACAGCCCTACTCTTAGATATAACAAAATTGTATAACCAAATCTTAGTAAATGTATTTGTTATTTCTTATTTTAATCTGATTACTATCTGGTTTAGTTAGTTATAAGTTCTTATCCAAACCTTAGCTATAGGGAAAGAGCATTAAAACTATTTAACTAAACATAGATAAAGTGAATAAATAAAATGAACAAAAAAAAAAACAAAATCATTTGGATAAGAGCAAAATCTTTTGCGACCCCACTTTTCCCTTTGCCCTTTTCCCTATTTTTCAGTTTGCCACAATTTTTTCTCACATTCTCTCCTTTTTCTTCTCTTTTCCATCTCTCAACTTCAAGACAACCACACAAAGCCCACACTCCTAATAATTCCCTATAATTCCAAACTTTTCTTTCTTTCTTCTTCCTCTTTTCTGATCACTTTTTATTGATTATTCCACCTTCCTTGGGGTTTTCTTGATTTTTTTCTTGTTTTCCTTGTCCCTTGCTGATTAAAGACAAAAAGAAAGGTTTTTGAACCTCAACAAACACAAAAAGATTACATTTATCTTGTGGGTTCTGTTGTTTCTTGTGTTCCTTGTCCCTTGTTTTGCTGATTAAAGGAAAAAAAAAAAGGTTCTTGAGCCTCAACAAACATAGAAAGATTAAATTTTTCTCGTGGGTTCTGTTTGATTTTTTCTGCTTTTAGCTTGAAAAAATCGAAATAGGGGAAAAAAAAAGCTTGAATCTTTTTCAGACATGTCTTGCTGCTTGAAATCTGGTTTTTCTGTGAGTGGGTCCTGTGAGACTATGGTCAAGAACAGAGGCAGAGAGCTTCTTCCTCTCGAAATTGGGAAATCACTTGCCATGGATGTTTTGGGCAGAAATTTTAATGTTTCAGATCAAAAACTTGTTAGCAGCTACACCATTAAAGCCCCCAAATTGGATCTTGTTAATGTAGGAATCTGCAAAATTCAGTTTTTAATTTTTTTTTCTCTTAAAGTTTTTGGTCTAATAAGTGCTTATGTTCTGTTTGGCAAATTTTTTCAGGCCCAGCCATCAGTTTGTGTAGGCAAATCCCTTAGATGGTGGGAAAAGTCCCTTCAGCCAAACATGGTAGAAATCCAGTCAGCACAGGAGCTTGTTGATTCATTGTTGAGTGCTGGGGATAAATTGGTCATATTGGACTTTTACTCACCTGGCTGTGGAGGTTGCAAGACTTTGCACCCTAAGGTACATTATTAACTTTTGCAAAGATTTAATTTTTGAACCCTTTTAAGCTTTATTTAGTTTGTTTATTGTTCTCCCTTTCATTAGTTTTTTGTATTGCCTACTATCAATCTGGAATTAGGACAAGAAAATCCCTGCCAAACTTTGTGTTAATCACAAACACACCCAGAAGATTTTAGAAAAAAGAAAAAAATGACAATGTAGCTTGTTTGATAATTAGTACACAAACTCTTGATACCTTTACCCTTCATTTACCAAAAGAAGTTACACAAATTATTGTTTGAGGCTAACTAACGGTTAGACGGTTCGACTCATCATATTTTTTTGAACAAAAATGCACAATTGATGTTTCTTGTAAGTATCTTTGCCCATCATTTACCAAAAGAACTTACAACAAATTCTTATACAAGACAAACTAACGGCTAGGCGAGTCGACTCATCATATTTTTTGAACAAAAAAATGCATAATTGAGGATTTTGTAAGTATCTATATCCATCATTTACCAAAAGAACTTACAACAAATTCTTGTACGAGACAAACTAACAGCTAGGCAGATCGACTCATCATACTTTTCGAACATAAATCTTTATATTGGATTAGTTGTATATATAATATAACCATTTTCTGTAACAGATATGCCAGCTGGCTGAAAAGAACCCGAACGCGATTTTCATGAAGCTCAACTATGAAAAAAACAAAGCAATGTGCTATGCCTTACATGTCCATGTCTTGCCATTCTTTAGATTCTATAGAGGTGCTGAGGGCAAAGTTGGTAGCTTTAGCTGCACTAATGCCACCGTAAGCAATCTATCGACTCGAAAAACATTTCATGGATTTTTTTTTTTTTTTTTCGAACAATGTAAGGGAGATTTGTGAAATTATTGATTTGTTTTGTACTTTTGTCATGTGCAGATCAAGAAATTTAAGGATGCGCTTGTGAAACACGGTAATGATCGATGTAGTCTTGGCCCGACAAAAGGTTTGGATGAGTCGGAGGTTTCGGCATTGGCATCGTTCGGCTTGTTATCGGGAGGCTCGGGACTAAGTTCGACTAACAATTATGATGATAAAAGGAAAGATTTGATTGTTGATGAAAATGAGTTGTGCAAACAGGGTAGTGCAATGGTTATGGCTTTCAGCTAGAAAACAGATTCAAGAATTCAACACAATGAATTAGGTTGAGATTATTATTGTCATTGTTATTGTTATTATTATTTTAAAAAAAAAAATTCCCATTATTTTTGTGGTGTAAATAATCAACTGTGGTTTATTTTTTATTTTTTATTTTTATTATTATTATTATTATTATTATTATTTGTGGTGGTTTATGAAAATGGGTTGTGCAAACAGGGTAGTGCCATGGTTATGGCTTTCAGCTAGGGACAGATTCAAGAATCAGTAGTTCAGTACCATGAATTAGGTTGAGATTATTATTGTTGTTATTATTACTTTTAATTTTTTTCTTCCATTATTATCTGTGGTG